AAAGAGAGTAGAAGTGAGGTAGAGAGAGAGGGACAGTGTCCTTCTTTTATAATGAGTGAGTCCTTCCCAGTGATTGTGGGAGTATGGATATGTAATAGTATTAGGAAAATGAGGCTCCACCCCTCAACACGCCCTGACGTACTTGTACATGTACATGTACATACAAACAAATGTAATAGTAATCAAATGTCAAGTTATTATATTATTAATAAATAAATAGTTCATTAATGAGAAGCTTCACATGATTATTAAGTCATGAATTGCTTTGTATCGCTTATTTCTAACACTAATTATTTATTGTTCTTAATTGTTGTGACTGTAGTGACTGTACATTGTATGATACTCATATTATCAATATTCATGTACTGTAATAGTAATATCTCATTGTGTTTTTACTAATAATAGTGATACCATTTGTGGAGGAGTATTGTTGTTTTAAGATTGGACCATAATGTTTCAATTGTCATATAAATGTATTATTATTTCCGTCAGCAAATTTTCATTATCAATTACTTAATGATGTTTGGGTTGTAGTAGGAATTAGTTTATGATTAATTTTTGTCTAGATTTCCTAAAAGTTTTACCAATTATTTTATCCATACTTCTTATTAATTCTTTAATTGTGTGTGTTTGTTGCAAGTTATATCTCTTTATAACAATTTGCAGCTTATAAGTTTATTATAATTAATAAAAGTCAGCAAAAATCACTACAAGGTATGGCAGCTTATTGAAATGGCATAATAATATATCAGCACAATGTAAACACACTTATGTGTGTGGGGGACAGTATTTAATTGTTACGACGAGTTTTTATCTCTGTGAACTTGAGAGTAGTGTATTTCCAATAATGCCACCTAATTCCTCGACCATTATTAGTTGCAGTATTAAAATAACGACCATTAAGATTTGAATAATAGCAACTATTATACCACCAGGCACCAGTGCCAGACTGAGCACAGTTACCTCCATTGTTATCATTATCATTATCTCTTGTACTGAATCTACTTCCATTATGATAGGCCAGACTATCCCCAGCAGTACCAGAGTATCCTCCTACTGTTAGTATATATTCAGTACTACCATCACTAACACTGAATGTAGAGTAGTTAGCATAAGCTGTGTTCCCCTCAAAGTCTCCCAGGTCCACTCTTAGTGTGTTTGATCCTTCTTTAGTAAGACGATGAATCTTGCTCAATCCTAACCAAAACTCACCAGTAAGGTCACCAAATCCATTCTCATAGTCAGTCCAGTATCTAAAGAAATCAACAGATCCATCTTGTCTCCTCTGAAATACAGTCCATCCACCACCATCAGTCTCCATATCACAGTATACCTGTGATCCA